AATTGGGTCGACTGTTCATCGCCGGTTATGAAATACAAAATTACTATTGAGAAGGTTGATATTAAACACGTCAAAAAGAGTTATACTGTTGGAAGAAAATTGAGAGGACACTTTACATTTCATTTGGGAAGCGAAACCTGCTTTGATGTTTTTAATCCTTTTTCAATTCAATTTTTTTTGGATAATGTCGTTTCTAAGCTTTGATATTTGTAACCTATAATGTCTTAATAATTTTGACCTCACTTCTACTACCTAATAATTTATTTCAAAAAATTCTAAAAAGAATTCGACATAGTTTCCATCGTTTCTCTGCTTTAATATTTGTAACCTAAACGTGTAAATAATTTTACTTCACTTCTACTACTTAATAATTTATTTCAAAAATTACAAATAGAAGTTTCATGAAACAAAAGTTTATGTACATTCAATTGGCGACATATTGAAACTAAACAGAAACTCCTTTATGATGATTTGATTGTTTATAGCAAACCAGCCTCGATGGGGATTTTGCATTATATGGAGATGAAAAACCACAAAATACTTTCACGGTTAGCTTGACGGTAAGGGGATTCTAACTCATGATTCGACTACCACTGAGGATATTACACGTCAGCATTGTGATCTGCTCGAACCAGGAGCAGGATTTGTATCGACTAGCCAACGCTCAGGTTCGAACCTGGTAAACATGTGCTCTGCCAAGGGCATGGATCAAAATCCCACGAATCAAAAGTTTGAATTGAATGTGAGTCATGATTTTGAAGAAAAAAGATGACGAAAAATGGAAGAAGGAAATAATTTATTATTATCACAAGTGAAAGTGACGTCACCAAAGAGTTTTTTTAGTTCATTTTTTTCATGACTATGTACAACGATGAAGAACACAGAAGACGATGTTAGAAGTCATCGAAGAAAGTGCTGTCATGGTTTGACTCTTCCTGGTTGAGGGAATTGCGGGAGTTCTCATCTTTTTCTGGGTATTCTTCGAAATTTCTCGTATCTCCTTCGTAACTCACTTTGGGAATGATGGGGGGCTTCAAGGTGACGAAAAGAAGGAAAGAAAAAAAAGAAAAGAATAGGGAGATTAGAAATAGAATACCACCACCAAAGAAAATTAAAAGAATATAATAAATAAAGAGAGAATATATAATGCTCAAAACACACAATCTTAGCAATATTTATTTTCATTTCGAAGTAAAGGATTTAAAAATATCTTTTCCGAACATACATTTAAAGACAACGAATTCTACTGATATTTTTCTGCGCATCTCCTAGACTGTTGCTGAAATATAATGTGTAACCAATACAAATGTTTTGGTAAGTCTTCTGTTATTAAAAAAATTTCAAAGTAAGAAAAAGAACACATATTTAACCAGCAAATCTATTTCCGATATCGTTTTCTAATATTTATTTTCGAACTTTTATGCTTGAATAATTTGTATGATAGATAGAGAAAAGTTGTATAGAATTTTAAAATTAATTATTTATCATGTTCTTTGAAGAGAAAGCATCAAAACCCACACTCCAAGAAATTTCCGTAAAATGCGGAAAAATGACCGTCAATTTATACGGTGAGCTTTCTTGGAGCAGAAAAAAAGTCAAGTGCCAGTAATTGTAACGAACTTCAGCAAAACTAGTAGATCTGACCGTTAATTGAAACCGTATGCGGCTCGAACCCTTATCAGATTTTTTAAAAAAAGACCAGTGCAATTAAGTATACTTTTATTACTATCCCCCCCTTTGTTTTATCAAAAATTTATTTTACGCTAAATTATGTTGAAAAAAATAGACTAAAATAAATACTACAGTCAAAACCCGCTATAGTGAATACGGCTTATAGTGAACTCCCGGATATAGTGAACGAAATGCTCGGTCCCGTGCCTTGCTATACACGTATAATAATATTTTCAGTGGATAAAGTGAACCAAAGAAGTCATTAAGTTGGTTATAATGAACTTTTTTCTGTCTTCGACTGATTTCCTCCCCATTTTCTTTGTAATAATTTTGAAATTTCTACTTCAAAATAAATACACATACCGATTTTTAAAACCATCTATAGAAATTACTTTTATGTACTCGAATGGCAGGTTAGACAGGTTTAAAAAGCAGAATAACAGAAATTCAGGAAAAATTATCTGAGAGTCGGGAAGTGTTTCCATATCTGATGTTGAGGATTGCTCATCAGCTAAAGATTACTAATTTTTATTTGTACGCAAGACGAAGAGTGATGAAAAATGACACATTTTTTGCTACTGCATAATATTTTTCAGTCATTTATATGAATATAATGTAATAAAAGGGAGGAGTTTTGGAACCATTTGTGAAATTGCCTGCGTAACGGATATAGTGAACCGAAATTTCGGTTCCTTGAAGGTTCACTATAGCGGGGTTTGACTGTATTAATATTTTTTTATTCGAATTTATGCTGATTTAAAACTGTTAATACTGGGACTGTTTCGTAACCAAAACTGGACTAAATATTTTGTCGAATTGAAATAAATTACTTTTATTACTGACAGGGTTTACTATAACTATCTATTGCAGAAACTACAATATCAAGCTAGTAATGCCAATTTAAAATTATGTACTTAAGGAAAGGGAAAAAAAGAAAGAAATAATGTAAGGAAAAATACCAGAATAACTTTTGAACAGTGCAGAATATTACATCAATCATTAAAACTTGATCGTTTCAGAAATAATAATTTCTTCTAAAAATTTGAATGTGAAAAACGCAAACAAGCATTTGTTTTATATTTTAACTCTAGCTGAAATACCCGTTCTTTTTGTGCAGGGTGGAAAAAAGTAGACATTCATCAGTACTGAAAAACATTACGAAATAATGCACAAAACTGAAAGACATATGCCGACATTTTTAATAAAGTTAAAATAGTTCAATTTTTTAAAATTTATTATTATATTTTGACCTTCCCGGTGGCGTTACGCTATTGGATTGACGTTTTTCGTAAACACGTTTTAAGTAATTCATCTCATCAAAATAAAGATTCGGAATCCTTTGGCGTGATTCTGGAGGCCAACTCGTGATAGTTAAAATTTACCATCAAAATCATGCGATTTTCTCCGGTACTTATCCCTTTAGAAGGACCAAAAAAATTCTTTTCACAGTACATACAGTATTGATATATTTTCAATAGGCATCAAATATACGAATATAATACGTTGTACCCATGTATGTAGATTTGGTACCTCTTGAAACTGCAGCAATTATCATAATACCAATAGTGCCGATTACCAAAATTAATGAAGCATCATAGGCGTCAATAATAATATAGCAATTTTTACATTTATCATAAATGAATTAGAGCCGTTTTCTATCAATTTTGCTTTATAATACTTAGAGTATATAGTTTATTCTTTTATTTTTGTCAGCACTTATTATCAAAATTAATTAAGCATCGTTGAAGTTAATAATAGTTTGGCAATTTTTACGCTTCTCTTTAACGGGTTAGTACCATTTCTCCATTTAACATAACTTATTTTTAATTCCAAATAGTAATTGTCAACAAAACTAATTAAGAATTAATAGCGTTAATACAGCAATTTTTTACGTTTTTTTTGGAACGATTTAGTATAATTTCTCTATTAATTTTGCTTTATATGTATATTTTTTTTTTCATTTCACATAGTATATTTACATAGTATACTTTTTTTTCATAGTACACAGTATATTTTTTTTTCTCATTTCAATTGGTACTTATTATCAAAATTAATTAAACCACATTGGCGTCTATAATAATTTGATTACGTTTCTTTTAATTGAAGTAGTAATATTTCTCAATTAAATTTTCATTTTAGTACTTAGTTTATTTTTTTAAATTTCAATTTGTGCCTATTACCAAGATTAAACGAGCCTCATTGGAGTCAATAATAGCATGATGGTTTCTCACGGATACCCTAAAGAATAACTACTTTTTCTTCATTAATTTTACTTTCTAGAACATAACTATTTTCTAAGTTAAATTATTGCCTAATAACAAACTTAAACAAGCATCAAATACGGTGATTTTTTCGTTTCTCCTACATGAATTGTACTGTTTCTCTAAAAATTTTACCTTTCAATACACATCTTTTTAATTATTTTTTATTTCAATAACTGTTGATTTTAAATTATGTAGTTTTACTGATTCATGAGTTAAAAGCATAACTAGAAACAAAATAAACACGCAGTTTCAAACTGTAGAAATACTAATTTATTTGATGACGTAATCCGCCACTGCTATCATGTTATTCCTGATCATTGAGTTTATCTGATATAACGAATGAAAAATAATTAAATATTAAAACAATTTTCAAAACACTACCTTTTTTTAATGAGAGCTACAAGCTAGAAAATAACACTGTAAAATATTTGAAAGAAAGAAAATCGTCTGCAGTCTCATTTTTATCAATGGTGAGTTCTACCCCAAAGAAAAAAAATTCAATTTTAATTCAGCTCAACCGAACGAACTAATTGAAAATTTCAAACGAATTTGAGGATGGGGAGCTAAATTTGCCCATTGCAGCCGTTATCCAAATTTCAGGATGGTAGAACAAACTGTTCTGAAGTTATAAGAGAGACACACACAAACTCTTTATCTTATTATTATAGATTAGGATAAGATGATATGAATATATTAACAGAATTTTCGATTCAATTTAAAATGCCAAATTTTTAGTTGGTCAACATAAGGAAAAGAGTAGCAGTAGTAATCTGATGATCAGTTTTGGAGCTCCATTCTTTATAAATGCGCTTGTAGCTCTCAGGGATTAACAGATATGGTATTGGAGTTGAGTTCTTTAGAAGCGCTTAGTAGATAGCAAAAAAGACATTAGGCGATATGATTTTTAGAGTCAGTTGTGTTCATACAGCGAGAGAAAGACTAAGCCCCTTGACCGAGACGTTTTCAGAAAATATCTCTTGAAAGGTTAACACATCGAGAAATATTTCACATAAGCGAGAGCAACAAACATATATTAAATTTTTTTTATAAAGATTTGAAACTTACTTGTACTTTCTTGTAATAGACATCTTCCCAGGAAATATTTTTAAACCATCGATGCCTCTTCACGTCTTCCGATCCATGCTGACAAAATTAAAAAATGAATATTATAAGAAAATTCACGTTTAAATAGAGGTATAAAATATAGGTTAAAGTGAAAATCTGCAATCACTTAATTTCTCATCATAAAATATTGCTACTTATTTATAAAATATGCATTTAAAAGTTCAGTATTTTTAAAGATACAATTTAAATGGTGCCTTATTTGTAATCTTCTTTTGCAATTAAGTGCATAAAAACTTCTCTTTCTAAAAGTATTTATTTGATTTTACCGATTACTTGAATACTAGGTAGTCAAGATGGAAATTTCTAGAAAAATTATGATGAATGTTTTTTGATAGCTTACAGACATAAGTAAAGGAACTTTTTCTTTCATCCATCAAAGTATGTAACTGTATTTTCTCTAAACTTTTGCCATCGAAGCGGCAGGTTTTTCATTTAAATGTAAAAAAATTCTAGTGGACGCAAGTAAATGACTTCCATGAAGGTCAGTTTCACACTATTTTTGAAATTGAATTGTTTTTCCGTTAAAAAGTTGTCCAAATTAAGAATGAAGTGGCATAGTCAGTGAATACTAGTGAGTGCAAAGAACGATGGAGTTACAATTCCACTTTCTGCAGTTTTGCAATAGTGCACTCACTGCATAGTTTGGCGATGCCATGCAATAAAACAGGCGACGATCGGTGAAACCACCAGGTAATTATTCTTTAAGTTTTTACACCATTTTGTCTTGTTAGTTTCAGTATATTTCTGTTGTGACCAATGAGCAAGGTATCATAATGGACTACGTCTGTTCTGGTGCCAGGCAATTAGTCCATCAATGTTTGGCACTGTCTGTCTACGATACTGTAGTTCTAAGCAAGAATTCGCATTTCACAAATATTGCGAGTTTTCAAATTATTCCTTTTTCAATAAAAATTAATTTTAAAAAAAATATGTTTTGATATTTTTTAGAGCTTACGATGATTTTTTTAAGCAGGTAACATAGGTAACTTTTCAACAAACGGAAAAAAAAACTGTAAAACATTTAAACATATGTCACATAATAAGCTGCCAAAGTTGACAGATCCAGCCTACAAATTTCAACCCTGACTATCTAATAATTTTAATTTGTCTAACAGTATTTTTAAAAAAGTGCATGAGAAAGTATTACATTAAGATGGATTTGTTGCATTTAGATCGCTGTAGTTCATGTGATCATGTGTAGCATCCATTTCATGATATATAAATAAAAAGAAATTAAGATTTATTCTAATGTTTTTTTTCTTAATTTTCTTAATAAATATTAAGAATTCCGTAATAAAACTCATTTACAGGTCTTTATTCAAATCATTTTAGAAAGCTTCATTAAAAAAATAACTCTATTAAATGCTTCGTACATAACAAAAACTAAAAGGAGTTAGTTTTAACTAAAGGATAACTCAATAATAAAAAGTAGCACAGCTAATCGAAATCAAAAGAAAACAAGTTCGGAACAAAAAAAAGGAACTTTCAAAATAATTAATTTTCTTAACACATCAGAAATAAATAGAAAAAAAATCATCGCCAAAGACTTACAGAGATGTCAAACGCTTCTTACATTTATTTCTTAGCGGGACATTTATGAATATAAATGAGGTTTTTGGACATTAGTTGAGACTATCTCATTTGGCGGAGTTTCTATTAAATTGCTTTGTCTCTGGAGCAGTTTAAATATCAATTACGATCACGGAGCTATAAAATATACTAAAAAAATTATTTTTATTTGTTGCTTATTTATCTATTTCGGACATGTTAAAGTTTGCCTTAATCTTAAATCAAAATATATGTTAAAGAAAGATATTAAGTTTCAAATTTAATTCTAATGAAATGAAATATAGCTTTACGAATTTTTTTTCACAAAATAAAGTATTTGTAATTTAGTGAGCGGTTCTTGAGAGAAATTTTTTTAAATTTATTATTTTACTGAGCTAACTATTAATAATAATGTATTTTAACTCCATAACGCTAACTGAAATCGATTTCTCCCAATTTCTTACTAAGTAGTAGTATTTGTTATCGTTTATAGTTTATGTAATAGATCCTGAAAATTTGAATCGTTTCAGTAGTTTTTATATTTTGCTATAAATTATGAGAGAGTTTAGTAGTCTTCATGTTTTCTCACAAAATCTGGATCATTTCAACAGTCTCAATATTTTGTTAGAAAATGTGAATAATTTAAGAAAATTTTATAACTTGTTACAAAATGTGAGCAACATTTAAATTTTAAAGGATATTTTTTTCCCCACAAGCGTGAGCAATTTTAGTAGTTTTCATATTTTTCACCAAACGTGGGTCATTTTAGTAGCTTTCATGTTTAGTCTCGAAAGGTGGGTAATTTTAGTAATTTTCATACTTTGTCTCAAAATGTGAATAAGTTTAGAAGTTTTCATAATTTGTCTCAAATGTGAGTTATTTTCGTATTTTTCTTATTTTGTTTCAAAAGGAGTCATTTTAGTAGAGTTATAACATTTTGTCGAAAATGTGAATCATTTTAGTATTTTCCATATTTTTTTACAAAACGCAAGTTCTTTATATTTGTTTTCACAAATTATCGTAAAATCTGAGTTTTTTTTTTAGTAATTTCGATATTTTGTCACAAATATGAATAATTTTAATGGTTTCCATATTTTGTCACTAAGTGCAAGTGTTTTTTTAGTAGTCTTAATATTCTATCTTAAAATCTGAGTCTATTTTGTTGTTTTTTAATTTTCTTTACAAAATCCAATTCATTTTAGTAATTTTCTTGTTTTATATAGGATAATATGTTACTTAAAATAAAACAGTTTCTTTTGGATTCCCCCCCCCTCTATAATGACCGTTGAGGTTTAGATAACAAAAGTTATAGACCAATTGCAAAAGCACAACATTAATTATGATTAATTAAATCGTGTAACTTTTATGAGTTTCAGTATCCCACATGAAAGCTAATAAGTTGAAATTCAGGAAGTTTTAAAATGTTCAGAAATAATAAAAAGCAATATTAACAATGGGACGAAGTTAATAAGGATGCTGAAATAATAACATATTCGCCATCGTTAGCTGTCACATAAATCTCTTATTAAATTAATCTGAAAATAATATATTAATAAAAATTGAAATGTTCTCCCACTAAAAATGCATAGTATTTAAAAAAAAAAAAAAATGGCAGAGAAGTTTAGAACTAAATTATTTAACCGGTTTGTAGTCGCTCTTACAAATCACAACGAAATGTTACTGTAAATTTTTTTTTTCCATATGAAAAATAGAGTTTATTTGAAATATGACGTTTTAAAAATCTACAACTAAATGAGAATAAAAAAATAAAGAATTCAATCAAAATATAATCTTTTTTCATATATATCATGGAAAGTATTAATATAATAAGTACAATTATTACTTCATTTTTATCTTTGCAAGTAAATGTATAGTATTCTTCCGCCATTAATTTTTTACTGCAATCAGAAGGCAAATGTGAATTGGCATTATATAAAACAAAATTTTTGAAATAGATTCAATAAGGGTGAAATATTGTTGTTATTGTCATAGGCCATTAAGGCAAAGAATACGATTGTTCTTATTTGCCAGTGGCTCCATCTATGGTCAAGAATTTGACTTCTACTGTACCCATACGTCACATTTATAGCGCGGACCCATTCACACATTCATCCACAAATCGTAATTTTGACCTGAACCAGAGAATGATCTATCTCCAATTCAGTACCTCCGGAAGTATAATTTGCTATGGGAAAATGGAGGACTTTGTGACCGGACAGATTTAGCGTGCACCAGCCAGCATTTACTACACACGGAGTCTCCGGCCAGCTGGGTTTTAACTCCCGTTCTCACGAACGCGAGTCCAGCGCCCTGCCAACCAGAAATGTAAAATAGGTTTTTACAAAATTTTCAGTTTTGTTAAATAAAATTAAACGAAATAAGTATTTTTTTAAAAATTTTACTGACATGTAATTTTGTACTCAAAAACCAACTTTTGCTTAATGAAAATATTCTCTTTGCAAATAATAAAAATTATTTTTTCATAACTGTGTTATATTTTTTATTAGACTTCTAATTTAGTTTTTTTTAAACGAATAATGAAGCACATTTTAAAAAAACATAATTTTTAATAATCACTGAATAACAAGAAGAAAAAAAAAGTTATAACAATGGATTTAGTTTTTTAGAAAGGAAGGATACCAAGCTGAACTTTTCCAAAGACTAAACCTTTTCTTATTTGAATATTCTGCAGATTTTATAGGGTGCGAAGGCATGATTTCTTGATATTCAAACTTTTAGGGAGTGTTAGTAACCAATGCAGACTTCAACCAGGTTTCCTAGGAAACCATAGATTTTAACCTCGTCATATCAAATACCGTCAGAACTATTCATATTTTGTTTTATGTACTTCCGATACTTCATAATATGAAACGCAGGCATTTTCTGATACTTCTACTTTCAAATTTTTTTATCCCATTGTTTACCTTTTTAAGAAGAATACCAAAATTATACACAATAACTGAGTTTCTATTGCTTAATAGTATTCTGTGTAAATTTGAGACCCAGAATCCAATATATTAAACAACATTCAGATGCAACTATTTTACGTAAAAAAGGAATAATTTAGTACTTTTTTTCCATTTGTACGCTGTTATAAAGCGATTGTCTACGTAAAAATATATTTGGATTTCCCCTTGTTGGTCGGATTTTTTCATGGAAACGAAACATTATGAGAAATTCGATTCAAGTTACCTCTTGGTCTGTTTTATGACCACTAGACTCAAATAATCTTATTATTTAAGACTAAGGGATTTTGGTTTATGACTTAAATGTGAAGTTATGCACTATAAAATTATTCTAAAATAGGCAAAGTGCTAAAAATTAAAATGCATAATTTTCTGTTTGAAATAATAATAACTAAAAAGGTTTATAAAGTTTAATTAATTTTATAGCATTTATGAGTTTACTATGCAGCATAAGAAAATGCATTTCTCCCATTATTTAGGGGTTGCAGGAGGTAAAACTGTACGGCAGTAGAAAAATTTTCTTTAAATTTAACGAACATTTATAAAACATGCGACCAAAATCTCCAAAATGAGATTTTAGCCAGGTGTCGAATATTTGGTCACCTAACTATTAGACCTACTTAATAATAACTATTTTATTATATATAGACACCGAGTTGTTCTTTTTAAAAAAAAACATTGGATTTTTAAGTTGAAATTTTTTTTTTTTGCCTCTTTTTAACGTTTGTAAAGTTTTAGCAATTTAAAATAGTCATGAGCTTTGTGGTGAAATACTTCACGTATAAAACTATGATAAAATAAGTAATATAAATGAACCACTGATATTTTAATATAATTATGCTATATTTCATACAAAAAATAACAAAATTACTAATGAAAATAAGCAATTGAAAAAAATAAAAATAAATAAATATTTATGTATTGTATTAGTTTTTTTATGGACTATTTCAATTTTTCAAAAAAACACAAAGTAAATTTTAATTTGAAAAGAAAGAAGGTTAAAAGTACTAAAAATGTAGCAGAACAATAATCAAAAGTCCACAATAAAAAATTTTTAATGCATTCTTTCAATATCTAGAAAATAAAGAAATTATTCGACTAGGCCGTCATTCCGCGTAGGTGGCCGAATATCGAATAGTAACCGAATATTCGGTTCACTCTTATAAAACATCTTTCAATATTTGAGATATCTCATCATTACCAACCAACCAAGCGATACATAAACATACACACTATATCTTGAGATTTGTTTATTATTTCGAGTAGTTTACATCTCCCCAACGGAAGAAAAATTTATAATTCTTAGAACAAGCATTCAAAATAAATAGAAAAAGTTACAGTTACATTTAACTAAGCGGAACATATTTCTTTTTTCTTTGAATGCTAGATAAACAAAGTTGGCACAAAACTTCTATTTCATTAAGCAAACGTTATAATTCAGAGTGTACAGTAGTAACTTTTTTTTTCTTCGTAAGCGACGTTGAATAGTTAATTAAGAAATGGCTAAAAGAGAAGAGAAAAAACTCTTACTTTCATGTTTCCTAACCTCTTCGCTCTATCAGGAACGAGCAGTTTCTTTATTAAATCTCTAAAAAAAAATGAAAGGAGAAAAGAAAATCTAAAATTAAGATTCAAGAAATGAAAACAAATGGATTAACTCTAAATGCATTATCAGAAGAAAACTTATGGAAAATTAAACGTCTTTTACGATCTCATTTTAGCTGCTTTTGATGATTTATGGATTTTTTTTAGCCTAAAGATAGGACAAGAATGAAAATGTTTTTACCTCTTCGTCATTTTTTTTAATGTTCATATTAAAAAAAATAGTCATAAAATAAATTAGGGATTTTGAATGAAAAAGAAACAGTTACGGGTAGGGTATCCAGTGGATGACTTATTGATTTTAAAATTAAAAAAAACTCGAATACAAAGAAGGACAGTGGATTGAAACAAATAATATGTTGTTTATTGTGAAAGTTGTAAAACTTCTACACAGAAATTATGAAAAAGTAGCCAAAAGGTGGCGCTGTATTGCGTACAAAGTTCTTAAAAAGAATACATATATCGTAGGACTGTAATTCAACCTGTGATGTTCCAGTACTAGATTGCTCAATAGAATACCTGATTTAAACCTCCTAATCCGTTACGACAATCTCTTTTCATGTTTTAACGATAAAACTAATAGCTCTGGTCATCCATGGCTTGCAGCGCCATCAGTTAGTATTTTTTTTGTTTGTTACTAAACGCCGAAATTTCTGTATGGAATTTTTACAGCTTTTAAAATAAACATACCGTTTGCTTTATTCCTCTATCACCTTTTGTTTACGGTAATTTTAATTTTCAAATCATCCAATTCTTCGCTGGATATCCTATATATCCGAACAGATTTATTATCAGAATAAATAACTAATACAAGGAACATACAGGGTGCCCAGAGGAGGAGTGGCTAAATTAAAAATTTTGGAATTGATAGAGGAATGAAACAAACAGCATGCTTATTGTGAAAATTGTAAATTAAACTACAGTCCTATGGCACCTGTATTCATTTTAAGAACTTTTTATAGTGTGCAGTGCCATCTGTAAGCAACTTAGGTAAATAAATTACACAAATTTTGTATAAAACTTTTAATCGTTAACGTAATGAAACGTCATCCAAAAGGGAAAATTTAACCATCTTTGATCCGTTTTGACAGATGATGCTATGCAGACTATGGGGAATTTTTGGGATTTCTTTAATGAGCATATTTCGAAGAATTATTATCCATCATCTTTAGAAAATAAATTTTTAATTGGAGTCTTGAGTTTTAATGGCTCCTGGGGAAAGAACGATTTCTACATATTAAAATTAGTAAGAAAATCTACTATAAATCTATTTTTATCTATGAATCAACATATAAAGAATTGTATGAGACATTCTATATATATATATATATATATATATATTTTTTTTTTGTGGTGAAAGTAGAGAATAAATAAAATCAGTTTTTTGCAAGTTTGCAAGGCGTATCTATGTAAGAATTATTTTTCACTGTACATTAATGAGTTTTTAAAAAATGTTTGGTATATTTTCTTCTGTTTAACTGCTTTTATTGACATAAAAATGAAAGATTCTAAAACTTCGAAATTAAATTGAAATTATGCAATTTTCTTTTAAAGGAACTTTCTAACGAAATCGATTCTTGAGCTTACTTGGCAATAGGATCAATATGTTTGGGCCAATCTATTTTCCCAGCCAATATCTTCTCATAAATTGCAAATGGATTGGTATCGAAAAATGGAGGGAACCTGAAATTAAAATGAGAAGCAGTTAATTTAAACAATTATCATTCATTAGAAATGGTAATTAGCGTGAATCTTTATTATTACCCGGAGAGCATTTCGTAAATAAGAATACCCAGAGCCCACCAATCCACTGCTTTGTTATGCCCTTTGCTCTGAATAATTTCTGGAGCCAAGTACTCAGGAGTGCCGCACAGGGTCCACGTCCTGAAAAAGAAAAAAAAATTGAAGAACATGTGAAGTAGGCCCCCAATAATTCGAATCCCAATAGTCCTTATCTGGACTATTGGGATTGGACAATTCGCCTTATCTGGACTTATATCAGTAAAGTGTGGAAATAAATTATTCTACAGATTATTGAGCTAATGTGAAGCTTAACTAAGGTTATGCGTTAAAGTGCCATAAAATCATTTCATTTCTCGAATTACCAATGGAATCTGCAAACTACCTACATAATCAGACATAACGTAAAAGTCAAAAGAGAGTGGAAACTCACTTTATTTTCACTTTAACGTAATGTCAGATTAAACACCTGGACGCTGCTAGTCACTCGTTAAAGTGAAAATAAAATTTTAGCTGAAATGACAGCGACGTTTTTGTGCTCTTAAATTTTCATAATGTTATACCTACTTCGCTATATTTTCGCTACCTACTTCGCTATATTTTTTTTTGCAACTACTAGGCTTGGGTTCCCATAGCAGGCTTGTTAAATGGCAAGTAGCATAAGTAACAACAACAGGGAGTCTAGTGAATGGCGTGTATCTGTTGTGAAAGCTGTAAAACCTTTTGACAGAAATTTTGGTATTCAGATACAAAAGTTGCTAACACATAGCAAGGTATGCTGCACACAATTCTCTAATACAATACAAATGCAGTAAAACTGTAATATTTCATCACCAAAAATAAACTTTGTTTATGTATATGGCTTAAACCTCCTAATCCTATACGACCAACTCCTTTCACGTTTTAAGCTAGAACTGATCACTCAGATCATAGATGGTTTGCAGCACCATCTTTCGGCAATCTTCGTGACTTAATTTCACAATTTCTCCATAAAAGTTTTAAAGCTTTCACAATAAACATACATTTCACCACCCTTTGTTTCTGAGAATTTTAGTTTTGAAAACGGTCAGTCATTCACTGAACAACGTGGATAGTTATGAGATTAATTCAACGATTATGTTATTAATCTATATGCTATTATTTTATAAATTTAATATTCATATGTTTATTCACGTGAGCATAATTTAACAATTTTGCTAATATGAATAAATATAAGAAAGCAGAATGCAAAAACAATTTTTTAGCTCTTTTATATGCTATTATTTCATTATTTGTACCATGCAAATGACTTTTAGTGCAAATATTGAAAACTTTTTGTATTATATTTCAATTTTATAACTGTCGTTGAGCAGCCAACCTAATTTTGAGTTTACGACTGTCAATGATTAATTCAGTATCCTTGTAATTTTTAGCATAATCCAAGTAAAAAGTGAACTCTTGGATCAAGTATTGGGTGAAATTTGCCTTCATGGAAGACTTTTTGATGGAACTAACTCTCCATTGATCTACATAGAGAGAAAAACCAAGCCAAGAAAACCTCCCACGTTAGCCTGATGGGAAGGAGATTTTGACCCATGATCCGTCTACCACGGAGTATATACTATGTCAGCTCGGTGCGATGCGGGTGCAGAATTTCTGTCGACCAGTTATTATTGAGATTCAAACTCGGGTCCCCTCTTTGGGAGGTGAGGGCTATAGCCCCTGAACCACCACAGCTTGATTAGACAATATCAAAAATATTGTTAGGACATTTTGAACAGATGGGCAAAACGGTTCTTTTCCATTTCGCCGGTGCAGGTGATGAAGTCAATGCAGGTGATATACCATTGCAAAGTCACCAAGCACAAGTAAATTTAACTGTTCTTTTTTAAAATTGTCTTCTTTATTTCAGGTGGCAACGATTTAAAAAAAAAGCTCAATTTACTTGTGCTTACGAAAAGGAAAAGTACCGGCAAAACATTCATTACGTTATTAAACACGTTTGATACTCGAAAAAAAACTTTCAAAATAACTACTGAACTAAATTTTATTGTCATTCTGAGAAAGGCTTACTTATCGGTGAGCCGCTTGGCAAACCCGAAATCCGTTATTTTTAAATGTCCGTCACGATCCAGGAGTAAGTTTTCAGGTTTGAGATCCCTGTATGCGATGCAGAGCTTGTGCAGATAGTCTAGAGCGAGAACTATTTCTGCTGCGTAGAACATTGAGGTTGTGCAAGAGAAACGACCAGCATTTCTCAGGTAAGTGAAAAGTTCACCACCGCAAGCGTATTCGAACAGCATGTAGAGGCACGTTTCATCATGGTGCGTCCATAAACTGGAAAAAAAAGAACAGAAAATTATCACATAATTTACCCAAATGGGGCAGATAGTTGTTTAGATAGAAATGCTTAAGTATTCTGTGCTACGTAACTTGTACTTGTCACTTTATATCTAAAACAATTCCTGTCTAACTCTCCTAAAACCTGTCTGCTTCATTTTCTTTTATACTAAATAATACTTTCTGTTCTACTAACATCTAAATATTTTCTGCCTAACTTTTGCTCCACTTTCTTTTATATCTTAAACACTCTCTGTTCCACTCATCTCATTTATAACTAAATACTCTCTATCAAAACTCTCTTAAATCACACTCTGCATGGTTTTCTTTTATATCTAACATACTCCCTGTTCCACTCGTCTTTATACCGTAATAATTTCTGCTTAATTCTCTTATAACATTTAGCCTAACTCTCCTAAAACAAAGTCTACTAAAACAATAGTTGCTCCACTTTCTTTTATATCTAAAACATTCTCTGTTCCACACATCTTTATATCTAAATACTCTCTCTGTCTTGCTCTCCTAAAACACAATCTGCTCCACTTTCTTTTATATCTGAAACGCTTTCTGTTCTACTAAACTTTATCTCTAAATACTATTTCGTTATTTTTCCTAAAACTTAATCATTTCTCTGTTCCACTCAGTCTTAAACCAAAATATTTTCCACTCCTATATACTTTATATCTGAAACAGTATCTGCGTCACTTTCTCTTTATATTCATAAGTTTGCTTTACTCATTATTCTATCTAAAACACTCCCTGTTCTATTCTTCTGATAAATTTTTGATGAATAATTGATTGATAAAATTGATGAAAAGATATATAAAAATACACAATGACTTACAGTTCTATGATAAAAGGATGCTGTACTTGGACTAGAAGGGATTTTTCATTTTTGACGTGTTCTGACTGCTTTAATTGGATGACATCAGCTATTTCTAATATCTTCATGGCAAAATATTTATTGTTCTTTTTACGTCGACACAAGACGACTCGTCCAAACGATCCCGTGCCTGAGAATAAAAAGTGATTTCATAAACAATATGTTTCTTTTTTATTTTAAGTCAAAAAAATTCACAGTTAATTATATATATATATATATATACAGCGGTCTGTTTAGAGCAAATTTGGGTCCGTTAACGGACCCTTCACAAAATATCTTTTCATAAAAACGGACCCTTCACAAAATATTTTAACTTAAAAACGGACCCTTCACAAAATGATTTTTCTTTTAATTGGACCCTTCACAAATTTGTTTATCTTCATTATTGTTTTGTTAATCGAATAAACCCTTCCCAGGGCAGAAAACAAGAAAGATGGATGTAAACGAATTAAGTTTTGTCTTCGGCAGACGATTCTTCCATTATTCGTCCGAAATNACATATATATATATATATATATATATATATATATATATATTTCTCTCTCTATTTGTATATATGGAGAGAAAAATGCGAAATATTACGAGGACCGGAAAGAAATGTCGTTTCGGCGCATTAAATATTCGTTAGTGTTAAAAACCAATTCAGTTTCTTTCAATCTGGCATTGAAAGGTTGTTGCTAACGAGGTTGAATACATGATTGATTAAAAATAAAAATTTTGATGACAAATATCAAATGCACCAGAACGACATTACTTTTTGACATTCTATCATTCTAGAACACTGTCTGTAAAGTATGAGTTAGAATTCAAGTAAGAAAGATAGAACACTTTTTGCATTGATGAGTGTATGAAAAAATATAAGCTTCCACGGGCTTATATTTTAACGGCGTTTTTCTAAATTGTCCTCTTTAATACGCTAAGACGCGATTTCTTCTTTAATATTTAACCGATTAATAAGAAACTTGGATATATGTTACCTCTAGAGCTTTTAATAAGCACACTATTTAAATAATCTATAAGTTATCTGATTTACTCCGTTAAATTATAGATCATGTGTCTTTTCGAATTTTACCTAGATAATGTGCATATTAAAAGCTTCGATTTCCGTAAAGTTCAAAAGTTTGTTGCTATCATTCTATCAAACGATTTGTTGATTGTTTTGACTTGATTCCTTAGTTATCCAACACTATACAAATTTTCATAATTGAAATAACTTTTTGAACTGTTTGATTTCTGGTATAACATTTTTTAAGTGATTGATTCTATCAACTAAAGTGCAGATTGTTTGGATGAAGTATCCTGATTTTTTAGATTAGCGAAGGAACAAATGAATAACGTTATATCCATTTAACTTATTTTCACTTTTACAAGCGCTTGGTAGGTAGTGTACAGATTATCTAGGTAGTTTGCTGATTACTTAGGTAATTTGAGGATTGAAACAATGGTTGGCACTTTGACGGTTCAGCCTAGCTAATCTACACACAGATAATCTGCAAAAAACTGATTTCTATACTTAAAAGGTAATTTATATGTGCTACCGCGAATGGCCAAAATCAAAAGAATGTCGACTTTCACCGGTGAATGTCAACAATCACATAGTCACTTTGGTGAATGTTCAAAATATTTGGTATATCCGATTTGATATTAATCTATTCATTGATGTTATTATATTTATTCGATATTTTAATATCTGCTGAAGATAGATTAGGAGAAACATCAGTGTTCGGAGTACCTTTAAATGCGTACTGGGCAGTGGCACTTGACTTTAAAAAAAAAACAGTGATGTAGGGCATACCGAGCAAATGCATATTAGACAGTGGCACTGAACCTTAGAAAAACATCAGTGTTGGGTATACCGGGCAAATGTAAACAATGTATGTGTACGTATTCTCTCTTTATGTGTATGTACTCTAAATGTATTCTCTGAAACAAATGTGTAGTAAAGGCAACAACAACCAATTTCGGTCATTCACAGTAACATATGTATTACTAATATAACTTTAGCTGAAAGTAGGAATAAGATTTTTTTATTGCATTTATAAGTTTCACAATAAATGTTTTTCATCAGAAAAAGCTGTAAAAATTTGATTTTACACTTAATCAACTAAGAATAAAGGTGTTAAGAAAATACGGAATCTACTTTCGATAAACAAAGGTTGCTAAAAATATAGTCAAATATGTTAAGTTATAGGACAAAAGTTTTTATTTTTTGTTGATAAAATGCCTTTATAAGTTAACAAAAGTTTTATTATAACATATCTCCCGTCAATGAAGAAAGAGTTGCTGAATTATTGGAGTTTCTACTTATTTTCTTTGTGGAACAGATGTTTGGAGAATTAATCCCTGATGTTTCCTGTTAAAAATTTTACTTAAAATGATGAATTTTATTTTAAAACCAGTATTGAACACATTCTTGAGTGTATGACTATCAATGTTCAATTTCGCAACGTTGTAATTTTGAACGTAACTCAGAAGACAAGGAAAATCCTAGATCAAACATTGGGACAAACTAGCTTTCACGGAGGACTTTTTTGAGGGAACTGACCTGCATTTGCGTTAGATGGAGAGGAAAACAATGAAAACCTCCCACGGTTCATCCGACAGCTGATTCTAACCCATCAATAATCCGTTTACCACTGAGGATATTTTACGCCGGTACTGTAGTCGGTGCGAGCACAATGCGATTTAACCAGCCGTTGCTAGGATTCGAACCTGAGTCATCTTATTTGAAAGTGAGGGCTCATTCTGAGTCACTACGGCTCTAAAGTGACTGTAAGTCGGGATACAACAGTTATTTTAATTCAGTACGCCATATAGAGGAAAAGAGATACTTTTTTTCAATGGAGTGCAAAGTTAACTATGCCAATAACATAGAGAATAATCAAAACATTTTTCCACAAAAACTCACTTATCTAGAGATAATTTTTACTACAAGTAATCTTTTTAATATAATTTATTATTTTCTAAATTTATTTTAAAAATAACGAAAAATTTTGTATGATCAAAAGCAAAAATCTTTATATCATTTTGTAGTACGTAATTTTAAATGACAAAATCCGAAATTTGATCAGAATTAGTCAAATAGTTTCCGATATATATATATATANCGTCTTTGAATTGCCGAACCGATTTTGGGTTTACGACTACTAATGTTCAACTCCGTAGCCTTGACATTTTGAACCCAATCCAGAAGACAAGGGAGCTCCTGGATCAAGTATTGGGAGAAATTCTCCTTCGTGAAGGACTTTCTGATGGAACTAATCCGCATTTGCGTTACATGGAGAGGAAGAAAACGAGAACCTCCCACGATTAGCCTGACCGCAAGGGGACTCTAACCCATGATCCGTCTACCACTGAGGATATTTCACGTCAGCACTGTGGTGTGTCACGTCAGCCGGATGCGGAATTCGTATCGACCAACCATCGCCGGGATCGAACTCGGTTCCCCTCATTGAAAGGCGAACGCTCTATCCCCTGAGCCATCGCAGCTTCCTATGGATTGATGGTCAGTAAGTTGAATTCATCTCCAATTCATCAAATAGTAACTCAAAATATTCTCTGCACTTAATAAGTATATTTAAAAGGCTACGCCCTTAAGTCATTAAGTTAGTGGCCAAAAATTCTATCAATACTTTACTAGTTGTTAATGTTTACTAGTTATTATTTATGCAAATCATAAAACAAAGTAGTGTAAGAAATGTATTGGTGAAACGTATGGGTAAAATTTATTGGTGGTATCATAAAGGTGTAAAACTGCAAAAGAAATTATGAAAATTCTTTAGTTGCGCTCATCACCCAACTTGATCTTTACAATTATTTTTTTAATTTAAAAAGAAAGTTACACTATTGCTTTGGTAAAAGAACAAAAAACTAAATATTTTAGTGTATAATTTGATATTTTAATGTATAATATTTAATTTTATCTTTAAATCTATATTTCCATTTAAAAACTAAGTTAGACTTCTGTTAAGGTTACAAAAAAACTAAATAATTTAAGTTACTGTACAATATATTTGATTTGATTTTTAATACTATTTTGGAATTTAGAAACAAAAATTGTTTTTTAGAAAAACTAGTTATTTTGATGCATGATACAATCTAATTAATTTCAATTTTTTAAAATTATTTTTGAATTAAAAGTTATATTAATGCTGAGAGAAAAAAAAATGCATATTTTTACCTTTAATGTAATATGTTTTATTTAATTTTTATAATTACTTTCGTTGTACTATTATTGTACTATTACTGATAAAACAGAGAAACTAGATATTTTAATGCCTAATGCGACAAATTTTGCTTAAAACAAAGCGAGAGATAAAAGGACGCATCCTAGATTTGAAAGAAAGCTATTGAGAATTTTTTTTGAAGGAAAGAAGTGTGACAATTAAACGAAGAACAAATTCGGAAATCTTTAAACTATTTTAAGATCCACAAATCGTTAAATTTATTACTATAGAAAGGTTTAAATGGGCAGGACACCTAATAAAATTGGATGACGGTCGAGCCATTAAGATTTTCTTGACCAAACGCTCTGGTACCCTAAAAAGAGGAAGACTAAAAAGACTGTCTGGAAAAAGCCCGTTAAACTAACAGAATAGCAAAGAGGAAGGCTTTAGACAAGAACAGGGTTGCATGGAATGCAATTCTGAGGAAGAAATAGAAAAAAAAATGTAGGTAATAAAGAAAATATACATTAGTTGCACCGAGGAAAATAATTGCATTATTTTTAGAAGAAAAGTCTCTTAGCTAACGTTTTTTTCATTCTGTCTTCGAATTAGAGTTGGGCAAAACGAATCATCAGAATGATTCGAATCAGATTTTATTCGAATCACTGACTGATTAGAATCACTTACTAATTAGAATCACTCACTGATTCGAATCAGTTGAAAGGTGGCGATTCGAATCAGTTGCAAGGGTGCGATTCGAATCACCGAATCAATTCAATTTAGCGATTCGAATCAGCAGCATCCAACTCTACCTCGAATTCAATTTCTGGTTAAGAAGGGGGGCATTATTGCATTACTGATCGACCGTAACTTACATCTTTTTGTTAAACACTAGATGCCAAAAATATCCAAACATGGAATACAGCTTGGTTCTAAAGGGTCTTCACGAAAATTCAATAAACGA